TTTGTCTTTTTCCGTGTCCAGCAACGGATCACAACCCTCAGTGTTGCCCCCGTACCGGACCGGGGACCGGCAACGGGATTGCAACCCTTGGTGTTGCTCCCGCGCCTCACTCAGCCAGTGAGTGGGAACCAGTCTGTATGTGGGATCCGAACCCTCGGGCGGGAGTGCCGCCACGCTTCCCAAGCGGCGCACTATCCAGTGCGCCACCGGGCCGGCCCTGTTTTTTCTAAGTTTTCAAATGTATTGCCATAAAGTTATTGATAAAATTCTCTTATTTACATCTCTGCTTCATCTGTAATTATGTTCCCTTCATAATATTTATTTATGCCTTCTCTCTTTTTTCTTGATTCACATTGCCAAAGATTTTGTCCATATATTTATCATTTTAAAGAATAAAGTGCTTAGCTTCTTAGCTTTGCTGATCTTCTGTATTGTATCTTTTCTAATTTATTGATTTCTGCTCTTATTTTTATCATATACTTCCTTCTACTTTCTTTGGGTTTCTCATTCTTTAAGTTACTGCTTAAAGTGGAAACTTACTTACTTAATTTTTAGCTTTTCTTCTTTTTTAATACAAATATATAAAGCTGTAAACTATCCTGGAAAAACATTTTCACCGCATCGCACATGTTTTCTTTATCATTTAATTCTAAGCATTTAAATTTTCTCATTATGATTTCTTCTTTGACCTGTGAGTTATTTGGAAATGTGTTTTTCATTTCCAAATAGCAATAGTTGGTTTATATTTTTGTTATTAACTTTATTTTTTATTTTTTATTTTTTTGGCAGCTGGCTGGCACAGGGAACCAAATGCTTGACATTGGTGTTACAAGGCCATGCTTTAACCAATTGAGCTAACCAGCCAGCCCTTATGATATTAACTTCTAACTTAATTAAATTGTGATCAAAGAATCTTGCCTGTATCATATTTCTTTTTTGAAATTTGTTGAACCTTTTTTCTGCAACTAGTATATAATCAATGTTTCAAAAAGTTCCATGTATGCTTGTAGCGGTTAGCCTTCATGGTGGCCCCCGATTATCCTTGCCTCAAGGTATGTTCAGCCTTGTGTAGTCCCCTCGCACATTGCATAATAGGGCTAATATGTACAACCAGTAAGATGTTGCAGAAATGACAGTGTGTAACTCCTGAGTCCAGGTCGTAAAACACATTGCAGCTTCCATCTTGCTGTCTGAGTTTGCTCACTCTGGGAAGCCAGCTGCCATGTCAAGAAGACACTCAAGCAGTCCTACATAGGGAGGAACTGAGGCTTCCTTCCATCTGCTAGCACCAACTTACTAATTATGTGAGCTAGTCAGTTTGGAAGCAGATCCTCCAGCTCCAGTCAAGCCATCAGATGGCTGCAGCTCCTGACAACATCTCTCTGAATTTCATGAGAAATCTTGAGCCAAAATCACCCAGCTAAGCCACCCTTGAATTGCTGACCCACAGAAACTGAGATATAATAAACGTTTATTGTTTTTACACTACTGAGTTTGTGCAGCAATAGCATAACTAAGACAATTCTAGAGAAGATTTTATAATCTCTAATTAAAGGAAGGAGAATTATGTATATGTCAAGCCTCTGTTGTTCAATTTCATTGTTTATATCTTCAATATATTTGCTGGATTTTTATTCGCTTTACCTACGAACAATTTAAGAAAATGTTTTGAGAGCTCCCATTGTGATGGTGGATTTGTCTATTTCTTATCTATTGTATCAAGTGTTCTTTACATTTTTTTTTTTTTAAGATGACCGGTAAGGGGATCTTAACCCTTGACTTGGTGTTGTCAGCACCACGCTCTCCCAAGTGAGCTAACCGGCCATCCCTATATGGGATCCGAACCCATGGCCTTGGTGTTATCAGCACCACACTCTCCCGAGTGAGCCACAGGCCGGCCCTTCTTTACATATTTTAAGGCTACTTTTTTAGGTGCATGCATGTAAAGATTGAAAAGGAGATAAATAAAACCATCATTATTTTCAGATGACATAATTGTTTATCTAAAAAATAGAAAAGAATCTAAAATTGCTAGGAGTTCTTGTATTTAGCAAGGTGTCTGAATAAAAGATCAATATACAAAAGTTATTTGCATGTTTATATATTAGCACAATAATAAAATATGTAATTTTTTAAAGTACATATTTACAATATTACAAAAATTATTTACAATAGCTACAAAAATTTTAGATATTTAATACTAAATCTAGTACAAGAACATAAAAATGTAAATATTTACTGAAAGCCATTTAAAAAGAATTAACAAATGGAGAAATATTTCATATTTATGGATAGAAAATTATAATTTTATGTCAATTCTTCCCATATTCATCTCTAGATTTAATGTAATTTCAACCAAAACACAATGTAATTTGATAACCTGATTCTAAAATTAATATGGGAAAGTAAAGAGCCAGGGATGACTAAGACACTTTTTAAAACTTTTTATTATGAAAAATTTCAAACATATACCAAAACAAAAAAGAGAGAATAGTATAATATCCTCCCCTGTGTCTGTTACCTAAATTTAATGGTTATAAACTCATGGCCAACTTTGTTTAGTATATATCTTCCACTCCCCTCTCTTTGTATTATTTTGAAGATAATCGTAGACATAATATTTTATTAATAAATATTTTAGTATGTATCTCTATAATACAAAAACTTTTCTATTAAACATATTCACAATACCACTACTACATCTAAGAAATTTAACAATAATTCCTTAGTATCATCAAATATCTAGTTAAATATCCAATTATATTTCTCTGATTCTTCTCATACACTGTAACCAATTGATGTCACATTCCCTTCCTCCCTTTTTTCTTTTCAGCAAATTTATTTGTTGAAGAAATAGATTGTTTATTCTGAGAATTCCCCACAGTTCGGATTTTGCTGTGGAGTTATTTATCACAGTTCTCTATCCCCTATATTTCCTGTAAATTGGTAATTCAATCTGGTGGTTTGATGAGATACAAATTCAATTTTGGGGTAAGATTTCTTCATAGGTGTTGATGTATATTTCCATTAGTAGATAAATCATATCTGATCATCTCTTTTTTTATGATGTCTCTTTTATGCATAAGAGATTACAAAATGGTGGTTACAAATTATATAATTCTCTCCTAATTTATTAGCTGGAACATTTGTATAAAAATACATTTTCTTTTTTTTTTTTAAAGATGACCAGTACGGGGATCTTAACACTTGACTTGGTGTTGTCAGCACCACACTCTCCTAAGTTAGCTAACTGGCCATCCCTATATAGAGATCCGAACCTGTGGCCTTGGTGTTATCAGCACCACACTCACCCAAGTGAGCCACGGGCCAGCCCTAAAAAGAAATTTTCCATCTCTATTTTGTTACCTTAATATACACTTCACAGGAAAAAACACTTGATTTGCTCCCTTTAATTTTCAGTTTTAAAAATAATGAGTTGGGGAAAAAAATGAACTTGACATCTAAAAGTGGAAGAAAAAGAAAATCTTAACCACAAAAAAGCAATTCAACATGGATCATAGACCTAAATGTGAAAGGTAAAACATTAAAGCTTCCAGAAGAAGATATTCCAGAGGAATATGTTAAAATTAAAGATTTATGTTCATCAAGAGACACCATTAAAAGAGCAAAAAAACCACAGACTGGGAGAAAATATTTGCAATACATGTACCCAATAAAGAACTCATATCTGGAATATATGAAGAATGCCTACAAATCAATAAAAAGCAAACAAGACGAAAAGTTTAATGGTTGAAAAAACTTGAATAAGCATTCTCCAAACAGGATCACTAACTGGCCAATAAACCTATGAAATGGTGTTAGACATTACTGCTCATGAAGGAAATTAAATGAAAACCTCGATAGGATACCACCACACACCCAACACAACACTACAATTTTAAAAGATCAACAATCTAGATCAACTAGAACTCTGACATATTACCGATAAGAGTGTAATGGTGTAACCATTTTGGAAAATTCTTTGGCAGTATCTACGAAAGCTAAACATATGCCTACCCTATGACCCAGCAATTCTACTCCTAGATATATACTCCCCCAAAATGAGTGCATATGTCTACCAAAAGACATGAACAACAATGCCCATAGCAACTTAATTCACAATGGCCCTAAACTGAAAATAACAAAAATGTCCATCAATGGGGAAAATAAGTAAATAAATTGTAGAATATTGATACAGTGGAAAATCATGCAGCAATAAGAAAGAACAAACTACTGCTACAGGCTACAATGAAGTGTGCCCTTGCCTCTCAGACTGTAGCCCACAGACTAGCAGCATCAGCACCACCTGGGAGCTTGTCAGAAATGCAGAATCTGAGGTCCCATCATAGACCTATTGAAACAGAATCTACATTTTAACAGATTTACCAGGTGACTCATATGCACACTAAGGTTTGAGAAACACTGTTCCATATCTTTTTTTGAGTGACAGTTACATAGCTGCATGTAAATGTAAAATTTCATTAATCTATACCTTTAAGATTATGCTTTAGATTGTGCATATTAAGATCTATACATTTAAGACGCACTTTACTATGTGTCTTTTTAACTCAATAAAAAATAAAAGTAAATGATTTGATTCCCTAGCATATTTCAAAGGTGACTAATAAGGGCTTTTTAGAGTCATTATAAACTCATAGATTTAGACATATTTAGTGTATTTTAATCCATTGACACTATTATTCTACTTATGCTCTATTTTCCTATTTTTCTCTTTAGGTGGCTGCTGGGTCCTTCAAAAATCCAGGAATATTTTGTGATTTTATTGCTTTCTAATATAAGAAAGTATTTCAATTCATTTTATACTTTTTCTGTACCAGACCTGAAAATAGTCATTTTTCCAAGGATCCGGGGTGCTTTTGATTGGAAATGGCATTAAAAGTTCCAAACTGGGTACTAAAAGATCTCATTAATTACCTTAAACACTTCTGAAGAAGAAGAATAAAGAGGTGTGATTTGCCCTATCAGATATCAGGGTTTATTAAGAAGGTATAGTATCAAGACCACGTGGTGCTGGGTCAGAGAGAGAAGATGATCAGTGCAATAGACTAGAGAGCTCAAAAACAAATTTATGTGTGGAACTTGGATGTGTAACAGAGGCAGCATGGCAGATAAGCAGAAAAGGGTGGAAAATGATTATCTGTATGGAAAAGTAATTCATTGGATCCCCACTTCAAACAATACACAATTCAATTTCACTTGGGTTGGGTTAATAACTTAATGTCAAATGCAAATCTCTTAATAGAAGTTGTATTAGTCTGAGTTCTCCAGAGAAACAGAACCAATAGGGTGTGTGTGTGTGTGTGTGTGTGTGTGTGTGTGTATCTCTTAATAGAAGTTGTATTAGTCTGAGTTCTCCAGAGAAACAGAACCAATAGGGTGTGTGTGTGTGTGTGTGTGTGTGTGTGTGTAGATAGATAGATTTATTATAAGGAATTGGCTCATATGATTATGGAAATAGAAAAATCCCAAGATCCGCAGTAGGCAAGCTGAAGACCCAGGAGAGCTGATGCTATAGTTCCAGTCCAAAGACAAGAGAAGACTGATGTCCCAGCTCAAAGACAGGCAGAGAGAAAGAATTCTTACTCAGACTTTTAATTCTATTCAGGCCTTTAATGGGTTGAATTAGACCCATCCACACTGGGGAGGGAAATCTGCTTTCTCAGTATACAATTTCAATGTTAATCTCATCCAGAAACACCCTCACAACCACACCCAGAAATAATGTTTAACCAAATATCTGGGCACTCCCTAGACTACTCAAGTTGACACATAAAATTAACTATCACAGAAGTATAGATAAATATCTTTCTCATCTTAGATTAGGAAACTTTTCTTAAACAAGACACAAAAAAAGTACTATCTAGGAAAGAGAAGATTGGTACATTTGACTATACGAGGGTACATCCAGCAGCTCATAGAAAGATTCATGTAATCTTGTAATTCTACTTTTTATGAACTTTTTGAAGTTCCCTAGTATTAAAGTTAAAAACTTCTATTCATAAATCATCTTAAAGAAAGTGAAAAGACAAGCTATAAATGGGGAGGAGATATTTGTAATATATATTCAAGGATTTTTATTTCTTTATATGAACCCCTCCAAATCGATAAGAAAAAGACAATCAAATAGAAAAATACATGATACGTGAGTGAGATACATGAGCAAGACACATGAGCAGGGAAATCTCAGAGGAAACGCATATGGCCGATAAACACTTGAAGACATGCTCAAATTTATTAATAACCATGGAAATACAAATGAAGTCCAGAATGAGATACCAATCTACACCCATTAGATCAGCAAAAATTAAGAAATCTGACAATGCCAAGTGTTGGACAGAATGTGAATCAACAGGATCTCTTACACATTTCTGGTGGAGGTGTAAATTAGAACAACCATTTTTAAATAATTTGACATTTGCTTGCAAAGTTTTCCATTTATAAACTCAAGGATAATACTCAAAGTATTAACAACCAGTAGTGCATGACACTGGCCAATCAGAACAGATGTCTAACCAGCCAAACTGGAGGCTAGCCAGTAGTTCTGCTGGTATGTACTGGCTGACTGCTATTCCTACATATACTGCAACCTAGCATTCCATCCCTATTTATGTCCCCAATGGAAACTCCTGCTCTAATTTATCAAGAGACAGATACAAGAATATTCACAGCAAGACTGCAGTAGGAAAAAAAAAAAANTTCAAACAATACACAATTCAATTTCACTTGGGTTGGGTTAATAACTTAATGTCAAATGCAAAACTCTTAATAGAAGTTGTATTAGTCTGAGTTCTCCAGAGAAACAGAACCAATAGGGTGTGTGTGTGTGTGTGTGTGTGTGTGTGTGTAGATAGATAGATTTATTATAAGGAATTGGCTCATATGATTATGGAAATAGAAAAATCCCAAGATCCGCAGTAGGCAAGCTGAAGACCCAGGAGAGCTGATGCTATAGTTCCAGTCCAAAGACAAGAGAAGACTGATGTCCCAGCTCAAAGACAGGCAGAGAGAAAGAATTCTTACTCAGACTTTTAATTCTATTCAGGCCTTTAATGGGTTGAATTAGACCCATCCACACTGGGGAGGGAAATCTGCTTTCTCAGTATACAATTTCAATGTTAATCTCATCCAGAAACACCCTCACAACCACACCCAGAAATAATGTTTAACCAAATATCTGGGCACTCCCTAGACTACTCAAGTTGACACATAAAATTAACTATCACAGAAGTATAGATAAATATCTTTCTCATCTTAGATTAGGAAACTTTTCTTAAACAAGACACAAAAAAAGTACTATCTAGGAAAGAGAAGATTGGTACATTTGACTATACGAGGGTACATCCAGCAGCTCATAGAAAGATTCATGTAATCTTGTAATTCTACTTTTTATGAACTTTTTGAAGTTCCCTAGTATTAAAGTTAAAAACTTCTATTCATAAATCATCTTAAAGAAAGTGAAAAGACAAGCTATAAATGGGGAGGAGATATTTGTAATATATATTCAAGGATTTTTATTTCTTTATATGAACCCCTCCAAATCGATAAGAAAAAGACAATCAAATAGAAAAATACATGATACGTGAGTGAGATACATGAGCAAGACACATGAGCAGGGAAATCTCAGAGGAAACGCATATGGCCGATAAACACTTGAAGACATGCTCAAATTTATTAATAACCATGGAAATACAAATGAAGTCCAGAATGAGATACCAATCTACACCCATTAGATCAGCAAAAATTAAGAAATCTGACAATGCCAAGTGTTGGACAGAATGTGAATCAACAGGATCTCTTACACATTTCTGGTGGAGGTGTAAATTAGAACAACCATTTTTAAATAATTTGACATTTGCTTGCAAAGTTTTCCATTTATAAACTCAAGGATAATACTCAAAGTATTAACAACCAGTAGTGCATGACACTGGCCAATCAGAACAGATGTCTAACCAGCCAAACTGGAGGCTAGCCAGTAGTTCTGCTGGTATGTACTGGCTGACTGCTATTCCTACATATACTGCAACCTAGCATTCCATCCCTATTTATGTCCCCAATGGAAACTCCTGCTCTAATTTATCAAGAGACAGATACAAGAATATTCACAGCAAGACTGCAGTAGGAAAAAAAAAAAAACTAAAAACAACAAAAATGCCTATTAACAGAAGAATAATGGATAAAATAATCAGACAATAGTCACACAATGGAATATTATATAGATCATGCAGAAATATGGATAAATCTTTAAACATATAATGTTGAGTTAAAAAAAAAAGAGTACCAGAAGATTATATACATCGTCATACCCTTTTAATAAAGTTCAAAAACGACTAAAACTGAACAATATATTTAGGCCACATATACATTTGATAAAAGGGAATGATAATCACAAATTTGGAAGGGAGGAGGCAAAGTTGTAGATGGGGGACGGGCAAATAGGTAGCTCTTCTAGTTCTTAGGTTGGGTGGTGGGATTATAGGTATTTATTACATTCCTTTATAAATATACATATATACACACACCTATATTCATACACAAAATAAGAGGTCCGTGGTCAATGATCACAATGAACCATAAACCAAAGATTATGATTTATTCAAATACGTGTACCTCAGTTCTATTTCTTAAAAAAAGACAAACTTGAAATATGAACAGAGAACAGGAAATCTTAAAGAATGACCAAGCAGATAAGAAAAGGAACTAAATATAACTCATAGAAATGAAAAATGTAATAACTGAAATTAGAAACTCGATAAATGAGTTTAACAGTCAACTGAACACAGGTGCTAATAGAATCAGTGAAAGGAGATAGAGCTGAAAAATATACCCAGAAGGCATCATAGAGAAATAAAGCTCGGAGAGAATAAAGCTGAGAAGCATGAAGGGTCTGGCCAGTTAGTTCAGCTGGTTAGAGCGTGGTGCTGAAGTCCAGGGTTCAATCCCTGTACCAGCCAGTCACCCAAGAAAAAAGAAACATAAAAACATGAAGGGCAGCATGACATGTCCTAACATACATCTAATCAGAAGCCAAAAGAAGAGGGAGAAAATGGGGCAGAGGTAACATGTGGAGAGACAATGGCTGGTTATTTTCCAAAATTGGTAAAGATATCAAGCTACAGATGCTCAACAAATTTCGAGTAGAATAATTAGAAAGAAATTCATACCTACAACATCATATTAAAATGCGAAACCAAAGATAAAAAGAGGAACTTAAAAGCAGCCAGAGAAAACAGGTTGCCTTCAAAGAAGCAATTGATAAGCTGACGACTGACTTCACAAAGCAACCATGGACACCCAAAGGGCAGTGGAACGGTATGTTCAATGCAGTGACTGAACAAAACAGTCAGCTTAGAAATCTACACCCAGTTGAAAAGACCTTTCAAGAATCATGGAGAAATAAAGACATTTCAGGGAAGAAAAAAATTGAGTTGCCATTAGACCTTCCTTAAATAAAATAATAAGGGAAGTTCTTTAGACAAAGTATAGTCTCATGTGCAAGAAGTAATCTCAGAATGAGGGTCTAGGATGCAAGAAGTAATGAAGAAAAAGTAAATGGTAAATGTGTGGATAAATATAATAAACCTAAAACTTAACTGTATACAACAGTAATGGGAAGGTCTGGTGAGTTTTTCAAAGATAGAATTAAAACATAAGACAATTAATAATAGTGTATATGGACAGATCATCCCTGACTTAGGATAGTTTGATTTATGATCTTCTTTTTTTATTTGCAGCAGGTTTATCGGGACATAGAACCATTGCAGGTCAAGGAGCATCTATATAAATTATTGTATAACTTCCAAAACAGTTGTAGAACAATTAAAATAGACACT